CTACAAGGGATTTTTTCCAATTATTTCTTATAGTTCGAAAAAAATTCAATATTTTGGCCATTTTTTTACACTCTTATTTCAGTAAAATAACCTGTACACCTATTAATATTTCAATAAAAACAATTTCAAAATTAAGCAAATGTTAATTAGATTTAACATAGATAATATTTATGTTCATTTCATTATAATACTTTTACGTAAAAATGGATTTTTATTACCTGTAATAAAGTAATTACAATTTCAACATTACATATATTTATTGGAATTGTGCAGAACATGTTTTATCTCATACTTTATAAAATTTATCAAGTTTATGGAAATTAAATCTTTTACTTGTTTTCTTCAATTTTTTTCAGTCACGCGGTATCATAACAGGCAAAGCGAGCACATTGTGTTGAACGAACTGATTGGTGAGTAGATTATTTCAGTATTTCACATGTTTTCGGCAACATACAGTTCCATTTAAATTCCAGTATAACATAGGGTATTAATGAATATTACTAGTTCAATTGGAATCATAAATTTCAAATAATAAAATTTGATTTAATATTTATAAATAGTAAGACAATACAGTTATGTTATTTAGTACGATGGTCAAATATTATATTATTATATATACGCTAAAAAATTGCGTATAACAAATTTTTGCGCAGCAGCTGCTCCATCTACCATTTTGAATCTCAAAAATCGCGTTGGCATTAGATGAGTCAATTATTTTGGATCATCACGTTGATCATTTTTTCGTAGATAAACTGTAAGCTGACAATAAGACACTTTCATAAGTATCAGCCATTTTATCAGGTAATTTCATTTAAAAAAAAAGGAACAGACAATAAATTTATGTAACACGTAAATGTGCGAATGTTTTCTTCGTATATTTAGATATTCGTAAAAATAATATCATGTTTTCGCGGATGACAGGTCAGTGTAATGATTATTTTGATTCTGTCAGTTGTCGATGGTTATGTATAGTAACCGTATTTCGTAAAACGCATTAAATCCATAAGATTACATTTACGTTAATATTTCGTAAATTTTAAGGATTTTCTATATTGTTGTATTATATTACAAATTAATATATGCTAGATTACTTATTTGTAACTGTTTTATTATGAAAATGGAAGTGACTTTAATTATGTGGGTTAAAATTTTGATTTTACACTTTCTGATATTTTATTTATATCTTATTACACTTTAGATTCATGATGTAATGATAAAAGCAGTTAAAATAATTTGTAGGAACTTGAGAATTCATATTACTTACAAATTTATTTCTGCTTAAAATATTCACTTTTAATTTCATCCTTTCCTGGCTTTTTCACAAAGTCAAATTTTCTTCTTTTTTGAGTGCTAATTTCAATATGCAAATGAGTATTGTAAAATATAATATTCATGCAGATTTGCATTAAATGTAAAATTAAATATTTACTGTAAATAAAATTATGTTTTGGTCATAGTAAAAAATGGATTCTAAAGATTACCATAAGGTCTGTGAAGAAGTAGATGATATTGAACCATCTACATCTAACAATAAGGATACTATACAAAATTTGGAAGATATGGAACTACACAAAGCTAATATCTTAAATGATAATGAAGTTGGTATAAATGAAACAAAAATGGAAGTTGAAGCAATAGAGGCAGCACATGAAATTCAAGCTGAAAATGAAGTAATTCAACTTGTTGAATCTTTGGTTAGTCATGAATATGATGTAGATAATAAAAAGAATATATTTGACGAAAATGAAAGTAAAAATTCTCTGAGAGAAACATCATTTTCTATTCTTCATTCTACAATATCACCGCAAGCTAGTACCTCACAAGACAATACTCCAACTTCATCAAATGATATTGAATCAAGTTCTCTCTCTAGTGATCAAAGTAAGGGCAAAAGAAGTAATTCAAAAGATAGTCTAAGAATTTGTTAATATTTAAAAATTTTTTTAATCATATGCTTTTTATTTATTAATTTTAACGTATGGGTCAAGTAAATGGTGACAATGTTTCTTCAATGGTGGTACATGGAACAGAATTTGAATCACTAGAGGTTCCTAAATTACCACGTAAGGTAAAAGAACGTGCTTATCGTAGTAAAAGATCAGCAACAGGGGACAATGGGGACAGTGGTCATGAAGGAACTGTTGAAGATACTGAAATGAAACCAGGTAATTGGTTAAAAATAAATATGTAACATTTAAAGCTACCACCTCACAAGACAATATTCCAATTTCATTAAATGATATTGAATCAAGTATTTCTTCTACTCATCAAAGTAACAGTAAAAGATGTATTTTAAAAGATAGTTAAAGAATTTCTTAGTATTTTTCAAAATTTTTCAGTGGTGTGTTTTTATTCATTAATTTTTATGATTAGGTCCAGTAAGTGGTAACAGTGTTTCAATGGAGGTATCTGGAAATAGCTCTGATGAAGATGAAAGTAAACCTCAAAAATTATTTGAAAGTATGCGTAATAAGTTTAAAAAAACAACATTTGAATTACCAGAATGTAGACCACTAAAGGTTCCTAAATTAATATGTAAAGTAGAAAAACGTTTTTGTCGTAGTAAGAAACTACCCGCAGCGGACAATGGAGGCAGTCGTAATGAAGGAACTATTGAAGATACTGTTATGAGACCAGGTAATTGCTAATAAAGAAATGTGTAACATTTAAAGAATTTCAGTGTTATATTACATTTGATGTAGAAACTGAGGAAACTGCAACTCGTGGGGAAATTGAGAATCGTGAAGCTGGGTTAGAAAGTAACAGTGATAGTTCAGTTTCAGGTATGTATTGTTATGTATGTTTCTTTATTATTTAAATTTGTAATTTCCATTTTTACTGTTAAAGATAAAATTGATTTTACAGACTGGACAACACCTAGTGAAGAAGAATTAGAAGAAGCAAAGGAAGATAAGCCTGCTTGTTTGAAAAAGGAAAGACCAAAGCCAAACTGGTTTGTAGTGCCAGAACTTTTGCGTCGTGAAATGGGCATTAATCCATTATTTCAACGTAAATATTATGGTTCCTTACACGTTGCAGAACATTTTGAACTTATGTACAAACTTAGGGAACATCAGGTATGCGGTATATTTTAAACTTTACATTTAAAAAATGAAGATATAATTTTTACATCATTTTTATAGGGTTGTGTTAATGCCTTAAACTTTAATCAAAAAGGAAATTTATTAGCTAGTGGTTCTGATGATTTGGCTGTAGTTATATGGGATTGGGCAATAGGCAAGAAACATCACGCTTTTATTAGTGGTCATAGGAGTAACATATTTCAAGTATGTAATAAAATGTGTTAATGTAGTTCTCTTCACTTTGTATTATCTTGTAAATTTTTAATTTCTAGGCTAAATGGTTACCATTTGATGTAGAAAATTTTATGGCCACGTGTGCTCGTGATGGACAAGTACGTTTATTAGATATTAGACGTGGTGTATCACGAAAATTAGCTGCACACTACGCACCGACTCATAAACTTGCAGTTCATCCAGACACACCACATGTGATTATATCTGCCGGTGAAGATGCAAAAGTGCTATCTATAGATATTAGAGAAGAGAAGCCAACGAGGTATGCTTTTCAATTAACTCTTATTAAACTTACACTTTCTTGTAACATATAAAAACGATTTGATTATATAGATTGCTAGTGGTAAAAAATGGTACTTCCCGTGTGCAATTGTACACTGTTCACTCTAACCCTTTAAAAAGTAATGAATTTTGTGTTGGTGGACGATCTCAAGCTGTTAGAATATATGATCGACGAAAATTATCTACACCAGTGTGTGAATTATGTCCCGAACATTTGGTATGTCTTTTGTATCCTATGAAATTGAAAGTCAACTTATATTCTTCATATTATTGTTTACATTTTATGAATTACAGATTGCCAGCAATCACGCACATGTAACTTGTGCGTTATATAATTACAATGGAACTGAAATTCTTGCATCTTATAATGATGAAGACATATATTTATTTGATGCAGTGTTACCACAACCTGGAGATTTTGCTCATAGATATCAAGGTCATAGGAACCATGCTACTGGTATGTACATTTATGTCTTGTGCAAGAATTAGCATTACTTATTATGTTAACTCGTATATTTTATAGTGAAAGGGGTTAATTTCTTTGGACCAAAAGGTGAATTTGTTATATCTGGATCAGATTGTGGAAATTTATTTATTTGGGATAAAAATACTGAAGCAATTGTAGATTGGATGCCTGGAGATGAACAAGGAATAGTATGTAATCGAATTAAATTATTTAAAAATGTAAATAATTTACCACATGTTCCTATTCTGGCAACAAGTGGACTTGATGTAGATGTAAAGATTTGGGTACCTTCTTGTGAATTTCCACCAAATTTCAGGAATTTAGAAAACGTGTGTATATTTGAGTTAAAATTTTTATCGTAAATGCATCATATTTCATGTGTGTTCTTTTTCTAGTGTGTCAGAACTAATGCAATGAGCAGAGCACAAGAAACTGCCAGTGAATCTGATGCATTTGATAGCCAAATGCTTTGGATATTATTAAGACATATTCGTCATACAGAAAGAGTAAGAGTGAGTATTATTAAATACAAATTGATAAATAAATTGTATAATATTCTAAAAATTTACTTGATCATTTTATATTATGATATAGCATATGTATGCAAGTAGAAGTTCTAGTGATCAAAATCGAGATGACGACGATGATGATGATGATGATGATGATGATGATGATGATGATAACGCTAATGATTCTTCAGACGATGACTCTTCTGATCACAGTACCAATCAACCTGTTATTGAGGGAGATAGAATTAGAAGAGTGCAATGTCCTCCATCTTAGAGGTATTGAAACGGACTATTTTACGTTTCGTACATTAATACTTGCACGATGTCTTTAAAAGATGTTATTAAATATGGATAATTAAGATAAAGAAATGAATATAAAAGTTTGTGCTTATTGGTAATACAAGTGATATATACCATTTACCATAATTATAAGAGTTAGTGTGCGTTGAATATGTATAAAGACTTGCTAAAGATATGTACAGTATTAGGTGATAATAAGAAATAACACAGTTCTATTTCTAGAAATATTGTGTAATTAGAATTTTCCGAAAATTGAAAAATTTAAGAAATTACCGTTCCTAAAAATATAAGTATTTATCATCATATTCAGCAAATGTACTCAAATTCATACTCTTGTTTTTGTTTTTGTAGCTTTCAATAACAGTGTTTTAGAGTAATAATATTTTGATGATTTATGCGAAATAAACATGGGATTGCGTTTTTAAAAATACACGTTGTTTTCCGAAGCTTAATCTTTTGTTGAACATCTTCCAAATGTTGTATGTAACTGCATACATGTTATCCACGATTTTGTAAAAATAAATAAAATACATTAACTGGGATGTTAGAAATTTTGTTGACTAGATCAAAATTCAGA